TTCTATCAAAAGGAAAGAGAGGTGCTCGGGCTTAGACTGAGTGTTTTGAGCCGGGGCCATTTTTTGTTCTGGATTTGTACAGCACCTAGCACAATGGGATCCTTGTCTACATCTGGGCTTCCTACACACTAACACAATACAAACAAACAATAATAATAAAGGTCAAGAGGAAAACGGTGTTCCCACTGGGTGACCATGTTTTAATAATTTACAGCAAGTATAAGGCGTTACGTGCCTGACAATAGTGCAATCAAATCTGAACTCGACTTTTTAAAGCTACAGAGAGCCTGAGCATGTCTGATTAAAATTACACCTGCATTACTGAGATCACAAGTTCTCTCCTTTGAACATTAGCAAATACAGCCTCAGGACATTTCATCAAGCAAAATAATGAGCGTATGAGTTCAAAAGGCACGCAACAATAAATGTATTGAATTAATATAGTCCTAGATTTACAGAGGCATTTGAATTTTGCAAGATCCATTGTTGTTCTTGTCACTGATCCATCTACACAGACATAATACTCAGTGCTTTTGAGCTAGTTAACATTAGATTTCTATCCAAGTATTACACAGGCTAAATATCAGAAAACAGCTTTGTTCTTTTAAATACCAGGATTTGCTCTAATTTCAAAATAATAAAAAGTACTTTTGGAATTCAGTCACACAAGGAAAATTATGGATCCTCCTCATTATGGATTATCTGGATTATTATTAGTCCCTCCCTAGGCAATACGAAAACAAGATAGTCAGCACAACTGGATTGTCATTCCAGATTCTTTCTTCTTCTTCTTAAACCATCGTACTCCGAGTGGAGCATAGGTCATCTACAAGTCTCCTCCACTTCACTGTCTTGAGACACTCTAGAAAGCCAAATTCCAGATTCTTTATGTTATTTTATTTAGCAAGTCGCAACCTCTCGGTCTCAATTTTCTCATATGCAATAAGATAAAATAAATGATGTGCTTGATGCAGGAATAACTGAGGATGTTTTTCGGTCTGTGAGCAGCCTAGAAGTAGATCACAATGGTGATAGCCCAGGTTTCACAGCACCTGTGTCTATTGGGTAGTATTCCTATAGATAGATATATTTTTAAGGCCAAGGTGTCCATGGGAAGTATTTTAATTGTCATTAGTGTTCTGCAAGCATCTCCACTTCTCTGTATGCCCGCTCTACTCTCTCCCTGAAGACAGAATTCTACCCCCTCACACGCATTCAGTCTCTAGTTCTTCCACTTCTTGTAAAAAAAAAAACCTACAGTGCACACACAAATTATACGAAGCACTACAATGAAAGACCGAGCCTTGATTTTTAAAGAAGCCCTTTGGAAACTCGAACTCAGAACATTTCACTGTGTTGCTATTAGTCCGTGTACAGCAGCAGCTAAATTCCTAGCAATGGGCTTGTCCCAGGAAAATAGTGTGTACATGGCACACGCTTTGATAGGAATAAAATGGCACTTTCCTGGCAGGAAGCCTGACTAGCCTCTCCCCTCAGGAGGAATTTATGTCAACAGAAACTTTGGCCTTGTGCAGTATGCTCAGTCAGGCATTAGCTCTGGTGCCATGTCCATCTCATGGTCTTTCCAATTAGAATGGGCTAACATTTTTGCAATTCTAGTGTGTACATGGCACACGCTTTGATAGGAATAAAATGGCACTTTCCTGGCAGGAAGCCTGACTAGCCTCTCCCCTCAGGAGGAATTTATGTCAACAGAAACTTTGGCCTTGTGCAGTATGCTCAGTCAGGCATTAGCTCTGGTGCCATGTCCATCTCATGGTCTTTCCAATTAGAATGGGCTAACATTTTTGCAATTCAT